GATTCCCCAACGCTGTTCCCCTCCCCAAATTTCCCAATAAAATCTTAAAAAAAAAAAGATGTAATTCTGTACTCACAATATGAGTGCAGTAATAAACGCTATAACATGCAATATATTTTCTACTTCACAATATATGCTTGGATATTAACTGTTTCTAAGTGAAATGTATACAGTAGATCCTATTTTCAATTTGAAAACATTTATTTTAGTGTAAATAGTTTTAAAAATATGATAGTCTCAGTTATGTCTATGTAAGGCTATCTTAATTTTTCATTGATCACACTAGAGTAAACTACAAAACAATGTCAAAATTTTTAAGTTAAATATATTTGTAAACCTGTATTTCATGAAGTACATAGAAAACAAAACCAACAAATTTTCTCCCATTAATATTTTTGCAACAAGTTAGAGCTGTATTTATAATAAAGAACGTGATTTTAAATTGATTTTATTCTATGAGCAAATTAATACCTCCAATTTGTATGTTGGTAAACTTCAAAGCAAAAATCTAAACCTTTTTCTTTAGACTTATAAAAATCTATCAGTAGTACCAATATGCAAAATCCTAAAGATTTATTAAATTTGCTAATGAAAAACATAATTTATTACAGTAAAACCAGTACTTTATCTAAAAGATTATTTAAGAAAAATACCATAAGGAATTACATTTTTTTAATTATAATGTTAATCCTCCACTTATGAGGCTGCCCCAAGCAGCCACTCAGCTTTGCTGCTGGGTAAGAAACTTTTCCTCTTGCCAGAAAAAAACAGATGTTCCTGCTGTGATCAGGGATTTTTCTTATCATCTAAATGTACTGCCACATCATCAGGTGTCAAAAGCCACCCAGGCTGAGAAATGCATATTAATTTGCTGCTCCCTGGGAGCCGTACCCTGGTTATGGAGTAAATCTCTTCCAGGGTAGGGACAGTAACTGTCCTCTCTCCCCCGTCACCCCTCCCCAAGCCAATTACAATTCAATAAAAATCACACAGAACCCACCAACGCCTTGGGATAGAAGCTTATTCCTGGCATGCTAAGCTGCAGCTCCAAGGCTTTATCTCTCAGAAACAGCTATTTAGCTGATGGTCAGATTTCTTGGCAAGCTCATACCCCTATGTTGCAGAAATATAGGAATATTCCTTGAACATTACATTACAGAAGTAATGGATATTTCTATATTAGCATAGGAAACCCAGGTAGTTTTTCACCATTTTAATGTAAAAATTCCAAACACTTTTTAAAACATTAATAGGAATTGTATTTTGAAATACTAAATACTCAATGCATATAAATTTCACTTTTGCACTCTCTACCCATGTGGTTTACTGACTTTAAATTTACAATATTTTTCAACTTTTTTGATTGTGGTCAAAGAGAAGAATCCAGGTTTCTGCTTTATTATTTACCAAAGAAAGGATACACAAAAACAAAGGAAACATTTCCAGGAT